AAGAGCAAATTTTTCAGTTCATTTATAGACTCAACTATTTTTATGAATCATGAAGCAGTTGTGCTTTCTGAAAGATCCCCTATCCTCCAGTGATCAGAGAATCAGCAATCACAAAACAAGATGCAAGGTCCTAGAGAGGTCTTGCTACCAATGACAGACAACATTTACCCCAGTGAGATGAATTATAATCCAATTTTTTAAATTCCTCCCAAAACGTTCCATACTTTCTATCAGAAATAAAGTTCAGCATTTAAAACCTCTGCCATTCTGCTTCGTGCACTCTCTTCACTAATATTATTGTTAGCAATGGTTTCTATAAATTAGTATACTTTATAATCAATCTGGGCACTTTTTTATAAAATGTGCCCAGATTGATTATATGGGTCCTACTCATATTCATTGAGTCAAAATCTCACAAAGTGGATGCAGAGATCCATATTTTATTTTTAAAAAATCCAAAGGTGATTCTGATACAGTGGCTTAAATGGATATTTGGAAGCCAATTATGAATTAGTGGGGAGCATGACTATTTTGGGGGGGGAATCCTGAAGATTTAGCCCAGAGTACTTTACCACTTAGCTACATTCCTCAGCCCTTTTTATTTTGAGACAGGGTCTCCCTAAGTTGCTTAGGGCCTTGCTAAACTGCTGAGGCTAACCTTGAACTTGAAATCCTCCTATCTCAGGCTTCTGGGTTGCAGGGATTACAGATGTATGCCACCATACCTGGGTAGGAAGATGAATTTTAGAATCATAAAAGATGTGGCATAATGCTTTCACTATTTACTAATTGTACACAGATTGTTATAAAATTCTTAGAGTCCATAGTAGACACAGAGATGTACCACAAATACCCTAAGGATTATTTGCTCTTAGCTGTGAAGAATGCAATCAGTGGATAACTTCCCATTATTAATTCCCTTAGGGTCTTCTCAGTTGGTACCCACCTTGTCCAAGGTCATCCTTTCCCATGAAAGTCTACAGCCAGTGATGAAGCAAGCAAAGAGTACAAAGAGCTGACATGGAATGCCAGTGGGCGATACTTATCATTCTCAATAAAGTTGATCAAGACTATTTCAGGCAGCATCCCAGTTTAATTTCTTCCTCTATTTAATTTCCCTTCTTCTCCTTTCTTTTCACAGGTGTTGATTCCTAATCTATCTCAGTATCTTCTTCCAGAGAATCAAACCTACTCCATATCTCAATTTCTGGTTCTGTAGCACAACACCTATCTGTTATGTTGGTTAACAGAGGTGATACATGAAAATGATCAGTAAATTACACATATAACTATTCTAAAACCAAAGGTGAGGTTTTATTTGGAGAAGGTAGGTACTAAGTCCCATACTAATAAGCCAAAATGTATTTTTGGTGTCACAAGTTGAAAATGTGTATTTGCTAATGAGACTCATCATTATGTAGAGATTGAGACTCAAAGTGTCATAATAGGATTTTTTTGGGGAGGGGAGATAGTAACTTTTTTTGCTTGTTCTTTTTTAGTTATTTCATAATAAGGCTTTGATAGGTACAGGAATGGGGCAAATTCAAGATGGTTGAATTATAAAAGTGTTTACAAAGATGGATCAGCTATGCAGGTAAGTCCCAGAACTGAAGGGCAAATAAAGCAATGCTTAGTGAG